TGTCGTTGCCGAGATTCCGACTTTGGAATTGGAACTATCCGGGCTCAATTGACTTCTCCTTTCAGTCCGCAAATGCAAATTCTGGAACTAATAGAAAGTACTATGTTAGCAGTTTAAGTATATGTCAGCCCTGACCTGTCTGCATAGTCTGGAAAACACTCGTGCGTCACTGCAAACGAGACGAGGCGGCAGGGACGTAAGCTCCTCGTTCATATAGGAGTAGTTGAAAAGGTTTGACTTGTAGTATTACCCTGCTTGTACTGCATATATGTGAAGAAAAAAAATTTGATGCGAGGGACAGAGTTTTGCTCTCACAACAAATCACCATCGGACAGCGCCGAAAATCAGCCAGCCGAACAGGGCGAGCGTTGGTGTATAAACGCTCCGCGTTCTGCAGATATCTCTCGCCGTTGACTCCCACACGTACTGGTTTTTTTTATAACATCACGTACTGAAAATTGAATACGGTGGGCAACTTGGCACCCTGACATGAACATTGTAAGCGTGACATGCACTCCCGCTGATACTTCTGTTGTGCACAGAAAGAAGTCAAGGTAGTATGGCGCTCAAGTGACTTGCTTGTTCTTGTAGGGGATTGTGAGCATGCATGCTCTGACTCTGAGCCACGAATCGATAACGTGCGTACTGATCTTGTGTGTGTCTCTGTGTGTGTGTGTGTTAGCGTGTAGTATCGATCAGGGCGGGCGAAAACGGAAATCTGGAACATCCTGAACTATGCCATGACATCACTGCGTTTTTACCGACTGCAGGACCGGTGACTGCTGAAAAAGCCTGGACCGGTCAATTTAAACAGAGTGGTAGTACTCCTACGCCGCGCAGCGAGATGGCTAGTTACGTTACCATTAGACGACGTTACGTACCTGCTGAGGGCTAGGGAGCCGGATTTGACCTGTTTTGATGTTCACTGCTGTGTCTGCTGTTGGCCGTTAGGCGGCAGCGACCGACGGTGATTATACTCTGCTACGTACCGTGGCTGAACCGGTCTCGCGCGCGGTCGTCTCGCCAGGAAGGGGAGACCGGTTCCTAGTACGTGCTAGCGCGGCGGCACCGCTGGTCATTGATGCGTGCGTGCGTGCTTGCGTTCACTGAAATGCAAACGCAAGGCGTCTGATCTGGCCAATCGACCGTTCACGCAGCACAGTCCGCTAAACCAAACACAGGCTGCTAACATGCATGCACCCAGCCTCCAGCGGTTCGTGCATGGATCCGTACGGCAAAAACGACGCGATGCCTTTGGTTGGCCCTGGCCCTCTGGGCCCCAGCCAGATGCTGCCTCAGATGCACTGCACGACGAACTAATCACGAACGCGCACCGGAAACACGTGACGGATCCATCCATCCACGGTTCGAATGCAATGCATTGCCGGCCTAACGATGGATCAGGCCTGACCGCCTGAGCAAAAGCGTCGCCATCGCTCGCCGGAGTTAAGTGCCCACGGGTCCCATGCCATCGCCCGGCTCCATCCCTGGATCTGGAACCCGATCGAGCGAATCAATCGTTTGTTTCGTTGGGTGCAGCGCACCCGTCGCCGAACCGGACGAGGACGACGAGTGAGCCCGCGGTCCACCACCTGCCGAAGGTGGCAATGGCAAGGAGCCAAGGAGGGAGGGGAGCATCGCGCCGCACATTCAATGCGCGCAGGCCTACACACAGATGAGTGAGTAGAGATCACCGATCCCAACTGGGGCGCCAATCAGGCAATCAGTGAGGTGGGCAGCTGCCGCGGCACGGCCACGGCGGGGCCCGACGGCCGGACGTGCCCATGTGACGGACTTGGCCTCCGACGCCGAGCACCAGCGCACTGTGCTGTGCATCCCTGATACCTAAGCCACGTGTCCTCGCCGCCGCGATGGGGGTATTAGTATACAAGGACACTGATGCAGCGTGGCCGCGTGGCCGCGTGGGGGAAGAAATTTGGCTGATACATTTCGATGCCAAGCTGGCGTATTTATGAATTATGATCTTATTATTAGTACTCCTATCTGCTGGGTAGCACGTAGAGAGCACCGGGCTGTATTTTACTCTCTGAGATTTCCTGGAGTATTGGACGACTATATCAGCCAATTGGCACACACCATTCTAGTTATCCGATGCAATCATCTAGATTGTGTTTTTTATATATATAGAAACATACATATATATTATACCAAGGCAGCAAACAAGTTACAAAGAAGCTCTCAAAAGAAAAAATAACCCCCCCCCAACACATACACACCATGCATCCCTCTTTACGGGCTTAAATTAGCCCTTTAGCTACCATGACATTATATAACTCATTGATTCATATGAAATGTCCCAGAAGCAACAATTCTCCACGATTGTGTTTTACTCTAATCTAAGATTTTTGCCGCCATTTCCTCCTTCCCACGACGGACAGGACGTTGCTTAGTGGTAAGCTCCTAAGGTTGGGACGCAATTGGCGAGAGTTGGATCCCCCACACAGCTCTTAGAAAAGAATCCTCTTCCTCTCCGGCTTAATGGACCATGTCCTAGGTTGCACTATTTCTCGTCCCTTTTCACGTCTCATAAGGTTGTATACATTGCCTCTGACAAGTAAACTTTAATATTTTCACAAATTAGGTATCATGTTTTCTAATATTCACACAAATTAGGTTTCGCTTTTCATCAATGTATCTCTAAACCAAAGTAGAACCCTAATATCAAGGCCACAAAAACTTTTGACTCTTGAGCATCATAGAAAAGTTTGTGACCATTAGGGCGCGATCAGTTTGCTTCGCAACAGAGCCAGGCATGTTGCAACGATGTAGGCTTACCGTGACTAGGACGATCAGGTGCAACAGTTTTTGTTTGGTTGTCATGACCGTCCAGCCAAGTCCGCACCACTACTTTCTTATATGGTGCAAGTTGTTCACCCTTCATGCATACATCTAGTCAGGTCCGGTGGAAACATCAAAGAATTTCATTTCGAGAGAGCGTGGCTGAGGGGATGATGTTGCATCTGGGGAGCCTAGCGGCTGAAGGGTTGCTGTAGTTAATCAATCGGTCTACCGTCGCATCCCACGGGCCTGACCAGGCCAGATGCAGGAAACCAATTGGACCCTTAGATGTGGAGGACGTCTCAAATCAAGGACCTATAAAAGCAGCCGCAATGTAATAGGTACACTACTACAGAAATCTTAATAGAGGCGGGCGAAATGGGTTAATGGAGGCGGGCATTACAGCCGCCTCCCATCAAAGATCACGGTTAATCGTGACTTTACGGAGGCTGTTGCTCTACCCGCCGCGGTTAATCCTTTAATGGAGGCGGGTGAATTAAGCTACCCGTCTCCGTTAATCGATTAAAAAAACAAAAACAAAAAATCTGAGCGAGCCCAATCGACGAGCCCGCCGGATCTGAGCGTGGCCTGCCGGATCTGAGTGTAATCGATGCTTCATCTTTCTCTCTCTTGTTTGAAGCATTTATTTTTTCCACGGTGGCCACTGATGCTCAGCTAGAAAAAGGACATGAAGGATAGAACAAGCATCTGTGTTCATTCGTTCTCTGCCAATAGAATATATTCCTTTAGTGCTCTTATACGGAGATCCAAAATGTACTCCCTTCGTCCCATATTAGTTATCATTTTAGCTATGGGTATGAGAATTGAGAAGTAAAAAAATGTATGATGCATAGAAACGAGAAGGAGAGAGATAGAGATGCATTGAGAAACCAACAAAATGACAACTAATTTGAAAAGTGCGGTTCTTTCGGCCTTATCTCCTCTTAATGAAACACGCGTGAACGGACGTGTTCGCAAAAATAAAAAGTGCAGAAAGTTAAATGATGGCTATTATGAGACGAAGGGGGTAACATTTGTGTGTTCATTTGCAAATTCTATGAATATTATAAGACATTTTTGTAGGACTGATATAATATGACTTTACTTGGTCACCAATCCATAAGTACAACATTCTTCTCTGCACATGGCATAGGTTTCCGTTTCCCCCCTCACGTGAGATCCTAGAGCAGTCCACTGCCCAGCGTGGCCTTAACTAGGTAGGTTCACTTTACAAGTCATCTCATTGTCCACCTGCACAAAAATAATGCTCCAAGGCCTTGTTTAGTTCCCTTCAAAGTTCCAAGTTTTTTCACTCTCTCTCCATCACATCAATTTTTGGACGTTTGCATGGAGCATTAAATGTAGGTAAAAAAAATAACTAATTGCACAGTTTAGTTGGAAATCACGAGATGAATCTTTTGAGCTTAGTTAGTCCACGATTGGACAATATTTACCAAATAAGACGAAAGTGCTACTATTCATCGGGTTAAAATTTTCTTCAATCTAAACAAGGCCCAAGGCCGCGTTTAGTTCTAAACCCAAAATTTCAAAAAGTACTACAGTAGCCATCACATCGAATCTTACGATACGTATATGGAACATTAAATATAGACGAAAAAAAAACTAATTGCACAGTTTGGTTGGAAATCACGAGACGAACGTTTTGAGGCTAATTGAACCATGATTGAACACTAATTGCTAAATAAAAACGAAAGTGCTATAGTACCCCAAATTTCAAAATTCAGCCAACTAAACACGGGCCCTCAACAAACCGCAAACAGTAAACTCAAGCTTGCTCAAGTCTGCTGTCTTTTCCGGTTCCAGCACTCTTTTTTTTTCCATAGCTAGGCTCTAGTCTCTAGAACAGGGGGAGTAGGAGTATCATTATCTTCCCCAGCAAGATAACTGGCTCTGCAAGCATCTTTCTCCGGACTCAAGCCAACCAACTCCATCCCCGCTTGGGTCAAACGTGTTCCACTGACCCATTCGCACAGCCAACGCCCACCCGTGCGGGCTCCGCTCCCGGCTCCCCTCTCCTACCACGTCACCATCGCGGCAGGATGCTCTTATAAAACACCTCGCGCCTCCCCCGCTCACCACCGCATCCATCCAAGTTCAGCCTCCTCTTCCCGGCCAAAGCAGAGCAAGCGAAGGCACAGGCAGAAGCCAGAAGCCAGAAGCGGTGCAAAGGGACGAACGCAATGGCGGTGGGGTTCCGTCGGACGCTCACGACGCTGGCGTCGTCCAAGTCGGTGGCGCCGTCGTTCCTTCTGGACTGCGCGCGCCCGAAGAAGCTGTCGTACGCGCGGGTGCGGTCCACCAGCCTCCCCGTGCGCCTTCACCCTCTCGCGGCGGCGCTGCACGACTCGGCGCGCGCGCTGCTGGCGTGGGCCGACGCGCCCGCGCAGACGGGGCCCGCGTGGGTCGCCGACGGCGCCGGGCGCGCGGGCCGCGTCCTGTCGGGTCTCGCGGACCTGCTGGACCACCCGCAGGCCCGCGACGCGCTGCGGCGGCACCCCTGGACGGAGCAGCTCATGGACGACCTCCTCCTCCTGGCGGACCTCCACGGGTGCTTCCGCGAGTCGCTCGTGGCGCTGAAGCAGATCCTCGCCGAGACGCACGCGGCGCTGCGCAGGCGCGACTACGGCGTCCGCCTCGCCGCCGCGCTGCGGGCGCAGCGGCGGTCGGCGCGGGAGGTGTCCCGCCTCGCCTCCGCGGCGCGGGACCTCTCCCACCGCGCGGCGCCCGACGACGAGTCCGACGAGGCCACGCTCGCCGACGCCTTCGCGGCCGCCACGGCCGCCGTGTCCGCCGCCTCGTCCGCGGTCTTCGCCGGCGTGTCGGCCGCCTCCGCCGAGTCGGCGGCCAGCGCCGCGCCGTCGCCGAGGACGCCGACGACCTACTCCCCCGCACGGACCCCCGGCAGCCCGATGTGGCTGGTGACCGACCTGCTCCGGCGGCGGCGGACCGTGTCGTTCGAAGACTCGTGCAACGAGGAGGAGGAGGAGCGGAAGGCCGCCATGGGCAGGGTGCGCGGGCTCGAGGAGTGCGTCGACGCCGCCGAGGCAGGCTGCGAGGAGGTGTACCGCGCGCTCGTCAACGCCAGAGTCTCCCTGCTCAACCTGCTCACGCCCACATTCTGATTGATTCTGACGGACTGACGCCCTCTCCTTCGTCTTGCTCCCTCGAGAGAGAAATTCTTGGCGGGTCAAAACGTTTTTGCTGTGACTGTGAGACATTCCATTTTGATTCGTTTGCGGTGTGTAAATGATGTAAATACGTAGTACTTCGGATTGTAAAGGGAACTGGTTCCAATTAACCGACAACCATGTGGATTTTGAGCTTGTCTCCCATTCCCGTGGTCCTCCTCTGCTTCTGCCCAAAGTGCGAGCCATCTGTCTTGATTGTTTTCCAACAACATTAGCACGCGAGCGATGCAAAAGTTGTTTCAATTGCACAATGTATTACTGCACTGTGCTGAGAAGAACATTGTTCTCTCTCTCTCTCTCTATGGCGAGGAAGAACATTGTTCATATTTCTGGATTGTGAAGATAAGCCATGGCTGAAAGTACCGTTAACTGATTTGTTGTGAGAGAAAAATATTGTTCGTTTGCCTGATAGACCATGGCTAAAAGTTATGAGAGAAAAATATTGTTCGTTGGCTGAAAAATACGGTTTATACCAAAGCACTATATACATCCACTTTCTCTCTTGGCTCTTGCTCCACTTAACACCGCAGCACAAAAGAGCGAGCACAATGGCCGGAGGAGGTGACGGTGAACTCAAGCTGCTGGGGGCGTGGGCGAGCCCATTCGTACAATCGTACTGCGGGTGAAGCTCGCGCTCAGCTTCAAGGGCCTGAGCTACGCGGACGTCGAGGAGGACCACTCCGTCGGCAAGAGCGAGCTGCTCCTCAAGTCCAACCCGGTGCACAAGAAGTTGCCCGTGCTCCTCCACGACGGTAAGCCCGTATGCGAATCGCAGATCATCGTGCAGTATATCGACGACGACGAGGCCTTCGCCGGCACTGGCCCGTCCCTCCTCCCAACCGACCCGTACCAGCGCGCCCTTGCTCGCTTCTGGAGTGCCTACGTTGATGACAAGGTACTACTCTCCACTAGTACCACACGAGCTCATGCACATATGCTGCTGGCGACTTTGTCGATCGCCTTGTATTTGTATTCTTCAACGATGGATGTCGGTGATGCCGGCCGATGCATATTGATGGTGATGGATGTGTTGTTTCTTGTTTGCAGCTCCTAGCCTCGTGGTTGCAGTTGACAAGGGCCAAGACACCGGAGGAAAGGGCGGAGGGGCTGAAGCAGACGCTCGTCGCGGCTGAGTACCTGGAGGCGGCGTTCAAGGAGATCTCAGAGGGCAAGCCCTTCTTCGGCGGTGACAGCGTTGGGTACTTGGAGGTCACGCTGGGGGCCCTGGTTGCGTGGGTGCACGCCGCCGAGAAACTGGACGGGACGAGCCTCTTTGATGGCGCGAGGACCCCGCTACTGAATGCGTGGGTGGAGCGGTTTGGCGCCCTTGAAGCGGCCAAGGCGGTGCTGCCAGACGTCGACAGGCTGGTCGAATTCGCTAAACGGTGGCAGCCCCAAGCCACGGCAACTGCAGCCTCGAACAACTAAAAAATTGGCTCTCCGACTTTACCGACACCAGTGTTGGACGAAGATATGGGCATCAGTAAAATAGAGGCTATACAATTTAGCTACTGTCGTGTGTGTTAGCTAGTTATTATTAGATTAGAAAAAAAAGATGGGCTTTCATTTATATTTTATTCGTTCCAAATTATAAATCATTTTAATTTTTTTGTAGAGTCCAAATATTTCAAATTTGTCGTGTGTGTTAGCTGTTATTTATACTCTCAGGACTTGACTGCTATGCAGCGGCTCGTTTCGTGTCCTGTTACTTTCATTGGTCTCCTATTTTGCTCGGAATCGTTTGTCAGTACTCAAGTCACCTGTTGACTTAGTGGATTTCGAGTCGGAATCTTCTTTCATCGTAATAATTGAAGTTGAGAGCTCCGTTTTGGGTTTCAGTATTTCCCTTGGCTTTTCGTCTTAGTGAGTGTCCCACTGTGTTCGCCGGTCATCACCGAGAACATCGAGCCACCAGTTAGCTCAAGGGTATCATGCTTAGAGTGTATGGTGTTTTTTATGGTGATTTTTGGACAGCCATTTCAGAAGAAATTTAGAATGGGCTCCCATTCACCCTCCACCTCAGCTATCCAAAATAAAATGTTACAAATAATCACTGAACCGAACGGGATACATCTGAACTAGCACACTGAAGACACATCCACGGCAATACTCACTGCATACAAACTGACCAACGGCAAGTCCGCAACGTACATCGTGCAGAGCACAAAGCCGCGTTCCGTTATTTCTTTTTCGTCACTACTACCTGAAAGCCTGAAAGTCTGAAACACGTGGCAAGCAGCTAAGTCCAGACTGATATAACCTGCTCTTTCAGTTGCTTGCACCGGCGGCCGCAGCCGCTAGACGTGCCTTCCACATCTTGCCGAACTCAACCAGCCTGCTCACGTCGGGCTCCAACGGCTCCACGGCTTCCAGTACGCCGAAACGCTCCGACCACGCCGCCAGGAGCTCATCCGATGCGCGGACCCACCCGAGCAGGCCGCCGAGCACGACGTCCACGTACCCGGCGCTCTTAAGAATTGTGAAAGAGTACTCAATGTGAAACCCCTGTGTCACGAGCGAGGCATCTGTCTTGCCGTTTCACTTTCCAGGTGAGCGATGTATTCATTTTCATCCATGATGCATGGGAATCGATACGGATTGAAGTTTGCGCAGCATGCGATTGCAATGGAACAATGCCATGCGGAGGCATTGATTCGGCGGACTGAAATCTTTGTGTCCTGTCGTCTTTTCGGTCGGTTAGGCGTCACATGGACTTGTATCTGCGGAGTTAATGTGCCACGCTGGGGTGATGATGAGTGACCGAACGAACCCTTTTTCCAGTGATGCAGCCGCCAACCTCTCCCTGTAGCGACTGAGGTCGACGTCTATCCAGCCCCGGACCCCAAAGTTAAGCCTCGCTTCGCTTGCATTTCTGCCGTGCAAGCTCACTCTTGCCCGTGCCAGCGAGCTCCAGTCTTCCAGAAACCAGAACCATCCTGAAACTGATGCCGGTTATGGGCCTCATCCCTCATGGCCTCATGGATGGGATGGTACATTCCATTCCAAGCTGGTACTGATCTAGCTGCATGTAATGTAAACTCATGTAGTATATAGCACAGGATTGTTTAAACACAGGAACAGAAAAAAAATACTAGAATGAACTAATGTATTGAATATTGTATAAATACTACATGAATAAAAAACATAGAAATAGAATGAAAATACCTAAAATCCAATGAATTAGGAAAACACAGATTGTAGGGTAATGTTTGGAGGAAGTGTATGAAAAAACTTAATAAATTGGTGAGAGAGATGTAAAGAAAGAAAAATTCCCATGAGATGCAGCGTGTCAGTAAAGTTCCTCTAAATTTCCTATAAAGCAAGCCATTTTAATAGGATTTTTTTTAAAAAAGTTATAAGAACTTAAATCATTTGTTCCAAAGGGTTTCATATCATAAAAAAAATCCTATTTCTATTCTAAAAATTCTAAAGGGGCCGTAGAAGTATCATATGTGGAGAACTTAGCTTGTTTTACATTCAAAAAGGTTTTCTGAATACATACACAATTAAGTTAGTATTCATTCAAAAAAAATTAAGTTAGTACAAGTACATGAGCCAACCGATTTGTACCTAGTTTCAAACTATCAGTTCACCGTACAAACTAGAAAGGCGAAAGGTACCCATGACCGGTCTCGTCAGTTTGGAGTTTGAACACTAGCTCAACAAGAAAAAAGTGGCAGCTCACTTTTGATGAAGAAGTAGGGTCTCCCTATTGTAATCCCCAAGTCCTGATCGAGCTACCCAACAACCAATTAATTATCTAGTGGTACAGTCAGTCAGTGGCTCGAGCGCGCGCGTCGGTGTGCGGTTGGCTCGCATGCGCATGCAATGCGAGGTCGATCACACATGAACCGAATCAATTTGCTCTGAGAAAATAATTGAGCTCCTCTCCATCGGGCCTCGCGCGGGCGCGCGATAAGTGATAACAATAATTGGGAGGATGATGATCATATGATATGGCTAATGGCTAGATGGTAAGGATCGATCGCATGCAATGCGAGGTCGATCACAAGAACCGAATCAATTTGCTCTGAGAAAATAATTGAGCTCCTCTCCATCGGTCCTCGGGCGGGCGCGCGATAATAATTGGGAGGATGATGATCATATGTTATGGCTAATGGCTAGATGGGATGTTGCAGTCTGATAGTTAGGTCGGCGGCTTTGGACCTTCCCATGTTCTGGCGGACGGCACGCGGACGCCCGGCCGTGCTCCGATCCGGTCTTCCGGGCGGGGGTAGAAATAACTGAATCTAGTGCCGATCGTTCGTTCGGTGGTTGGGTTGGACGTTTGAGTGGAAGGCGATCGACCACTGCTGCAAGCCTGCAATACATGACTCGGCCAGGATTTCCTCGGTTGTGTGGATGCGATCCGACGCCGCGTGCGTCCAACTCACCTAGGAATCGGTGTTGAGGTTGTTGAGGACGACGACCACGATCGACGAGGAGGACGACGGCGCGGCGGTGGCGCCGGTGAGCTTGGATATAGTGCAAGTACCGTGAGTGTGAGGCTTCGACCGCGACGGGCCTGCGCGAGCGTATAATCGAGTGTGTTGGTGGAATCAATCCTGTTCTCTAGCATGCACATCGCCGGTGTTTTTCCTTTTTCCCCCGAGGAAATATCGCCGGTGATTTCATTGCCCTTATCTAGTGACCAGAGAAGCTAAGGATAATTCCTTAAAATTCTTGGCCAATCACTCGTTCGGTTGTCAGCGTGAATGAAGAGACACAAAGGGAACGGATAATTAAAAAAAAAGAAAAGTGGCGAAAAAGAGAACCACCACTTTTTTTTTATTACCAAATCGATGATATATCCCTCCTCTTTTCTCTGCTTCGTGGTGCTCGGGCCCAACGCGAATGGATGGGCCTGGAACGGGAGTCACTCTCCAACTTTTCGGGGGCTTTTTCTGATGCAAAGAGCACACCGCGATTCGCACTGCGCCGGGATGCATCGATCCGTCCAAAGCCGATGGCGTTTGGCACGTGATGAACGTTAGCAATGGACTTGTGGTGGCAATGGATGCGACTCCGACTCACGAGCACGATAGCTTGGATCCGAGCACCGCGCGCGGCATGTAAAATGGTAGTCGTGCTGGATGCAGCTCGTGCAGACGGAAACGGAACGGACATGGCACATGGTCACACTCGCAAACTTTCGGATCGGGAGGTCCTGGAGGATCTTGTTAGTGCTGCGATCCTGCCTCGTGAAACTGAACCGCTCAGAATGGGCCGCCATGTGCAGTCGGTCCAACAGGCCGTGGAGGCCCAGGTATTTCAGTCTCATGTAACGGTTTTTTGCTGGTGGGCTGAGCTAAGCACCTTGGGCCTTGGGGAGCCCTTGTGCGTGTTGTCAACGGGGCGGGCTGTTCTCTTCCACTCCGTCTAGCGGCCTGGCTGGCGCTGTGGCTTCAATCCCACGAGTTTCCAGAGTTTCGAGACAAGTGTCTCGATCCTTCTAAAAAATGACAACTGTCTCAATCTACGAATTGAAACTATTGAAATAACTGTTTAAGCTTAACTCAGAAGAAAGATTGAATAGCTTGGTTACGTAGAACACTGAGAAAGATGTTCAATACAACATTGATCTTGATATTATTCTTGATTATTTTACATGAAGATCAAAATACACGAAGTCGTTTCTTTACAAAGCACTAAAGCATTATTGTTACTCTTATTTGAGGTAATCATAAGTTATTTTACTGTCCTTTTACTTTTTGTTGAGTGTTCTTGTCATTAATAAACTAAATATATTATTTGAGTTAACTCATACTGGTCCTACTATATGCTTTTATTCATTATATTACGAATAAAAAGATCTAGAGCTAAAAGGCCTATGACATCATGTTCACACAAAGATCATCAAAACTATAGAGCCGGCCTTGGCCGTCACCTTGCATCGACGGCTTTATCCTTATGGATCGCTAGCCAGCTCGGATGAGGTACGACGACTCGTGGCAGAGACCCCATGGAGCGACGACAGGTTGTGTGCCTGGTGTCTATTGCCTTTGTATCTATGAGGTCATCGAGCTACTTGGCTCGCAACCAAAAGGAGTAGGTCGTCTAGGCGCTGATCCAAGGAAGGATCTAGTGCCACATCAACCTGCGCCGTAAGAACATTGGTGACATTGCCACTTGTGAGGTTTGCGGGAGTGAGGATGAAACAGCTGAACATATATAGCCTGTTCGGTTGGCTGGTTCGTATCGTTGCTGGTTCGTGAAGAAGTACTGCTGGCTGGTTTGTGTGAGAGAAAAATACTGTTTCTGCTGAAAATTTACGATCGTTTACGATCAAGACACAGCCAAACGAACAGGCTGATAATAGACGAGTGCAGCATTGCCACATCCTTCTTGGCATGTGTTGGCATCGATCTCCCGCCCGGACCTTGCACGAAGAACCTATCCGGAATCACCTATCCCAAGCACCTACCGAA